TTTAGCCGAGCAAAACTCCTGCTAAAAAATTCTATAAAAATCAAATAAATCCTTTACGCTCAAAATATGACAGAAAATACCCAAACACAACTCCTGTTAAAAGCGGAACTCAAAATTCCAATTTTAAGAGGTCCATCAAGGAAGTTACATTTTGGCACACCCTAATATATATCAAAAATATATCAAAATGCATGTGGGTATTCAAATGAAAGCTCTTGATGAGTGTAACATCGGGATGAGCTTATATCATCAAAAACGTCAATAGTTAAGAAAGTACAGTGCAATTCAACAAAAGTCATTATTTAATAAAGCAAAATTTAATTTATTTATAGTTAACAAGTTACGGCAGTCACATAGTGACTGCATGGTTGCTAGTATTTGTAAATTAAATGAAAAATTCATTTATTGTTGAAAAATTTTAAATATTTTTTGGACAAAATTAAAAATGAGCGAATAAATTTATAAAATTATCTTACAAAAAATTTAATTTAATTATTTTTAACATTATTAATTCCAAAAATATCTAAGTTAATCTAAAAATTAATTAATCCCAATTACAACAAATTAACCAGAATAATACTTGCAAAGAAAATGTAATATGAAATAAAGTCCGTTCGATTAATTTTGATACTATCCACAATTAATCAATCTTCCCCAAGTCTTATTTTTATCATTATCTTACCCTCGTAAATGAATTATTTGAGTTTCCTTTCCCTTAGCTCAGTACCGATCGTCTGCTGATGAGAACGCCGATCCAGAATGGCGCTCCAGGATGCCATTTTAATTAGAACTGACGGTTAATTACTGTAATCGGCACGGGAACCCTCGTCGAAAGTAAAGGGGCTGTTACTGCCGACTACGACGACAAAACTCTGACAAGTAGCAAAGTAAGAGTGAAAAGGCAAAAGCATCCAACCCACCCGCTGAAGCAAAAGTTAAAAGTCAAAGCTAAAGCACCACCAACTTTATCTACATTCTACATCTCTCTCTGTCCTTTTATTTTCGTCTTTCTCTCACGTTTGTTCATATTCATAGTCGTAATTTTTAAGCCTGTATCCTTGTTCCTCTGGTGCACGCATTGCCCAACTGTTGTGTGCTAATTTAGTATTTCCCTTCAGAAACTTGTCTCTGGTCCTTTATTTAAGTTCACCTCACCCGCCGGCAGAGCTCCCTTTGTGTTTCATATTTTGTATTTTATATTTCTAAAGAATATTCGTGTATTTTAATAATAATAATAATAATAATAATAATAATAATAATAATGCAATGGTTATTATTATTTTTGTTGTTTCAGAGCGCCTTTGTGCATTAAAAAATAAAAAAAGTACTCTTAAACCTCAAAATAAATACTAATACAGTAAAAGTAATACTTCCATACGTTTTTTTATTACGTATTAATGTTTGAGTCCATTGGAATGTTTATTTTTGTACGTCAAAGCTGAATAATAGCGTTAGTTTGCCGAAGGGTGTGGTGTGGTAAAAAATACAAGGGGAAAAATATCAGGGGAGAAAAGCAACTGGCTATTTTGTCCTAGGTTGAGTGTATGTGTATAAAACTACTCAATTATTATTTTACTTTTGATCAATATCGCGTTTGTAACGCCGAAGGCATCGTTCTATACAGATCCTAAAAGCCAAAGCTTGAATTTTTTTTTGGTAATCAAATTAAACTAAAAAATTCAACACCGTTAATTTTATTGATAGAGTTGCTTTTATAAAATTGATCAGAGCTTTTTTTATCGACAATTTATTTGCCTGAAAGAAAACCTTATAAATTTTTTAAATCTAAAATATTTTATTGAAATTTTAAAACATTTCTTTAATTATTTTAAAATTGTTTTTGAAAATACATTTTATTAATAGAATTCTAAGAAAAATTCTATTAATTTTGATTTTAAGTATATATTGGATAGTTAAAAAAAACCCATTAATTAAAATAAAAATATAATATTTTTGATTTAAGAGATTCAACATTATTTCAGTGAATAATTTTTGTGTTCAAGCTCTTAATTTAATTAAATCTTGAGCGGAATAGATTGCAATTAGCTAAAGCGAGGTTAAACACCGGTAGATAAATTGCCAACTGCGAATACTTGAATAGATTCAATCGATTAGTGTGATTAATTCTCTAGGTATAATTACCATTCATCAACAAAATTTATCATCCAGAAAATTTTTATGCCTAAGCAACAAAAACCAATTAAAGGCTTCGGAATAAAAACCCAACCAAAAATGAAGGCAAAGAAACAGATTACGTGAAAGTATCTAGAGGTGCGAGAAAATAAGCATTAAAAATATATGACCAGAAGAAAAAAGTGAGCAAGTGCGCTGAAGAACACCTCGTTCTCGTTCTTGGTCTTGGTTTTTCCTCGCTCCTAACGGAAGGTATTTAATTTGGAGAGAGCTTTTACGTCGGTGTCGCTGTTTTCCGCGAGTTTACTGGAGAAAAGCGAGTAAGAAATAAAGGGGCAAAGAGCAGCAGCCCCGAGAGGGTTCACAGTGAAGAAAGGGAGGAAAAATAGTGAAATACTCTGGAGTAGCTCGGGAAGAATGAAGAGGGAAGGGGAGGAAATTTCCACCCCCTGGACTTTGGTGTAGTCTCGCCCTCGTGTTTGCTCGTGTATTCATTCCTGTATTCGCGGGGGCGGAGACCGCAGAGTATTGATTTCAACCCCTCGACTCGGCTGCCCCGAACTTCCCTTGCAGCTCCACTATTTCTGCTGCTATTGCTCCTGCTGCTGCCTTTTCCCTCGCCACCCAATTTTACTTGGCTCAATGTGGAAGTGTGTGTATGTATCCGCTATTGTGTGTATGCCGTTTTTATATATGTGCTTTGGTGTTGGTGCTTGTCCCTCGTCATCGAGCAACCCCAATCAACCCCCGGCTGTTCGGCAATGTTGTCACACAATCCTCGTGAATTAATATTTTAATAAAAAATAAAAAAAACACGGAAAAAGTAGACGGCGATGAAATAGAGATAAAAAATAAATGGGTGTCGATAAAAATATTATATTGAGATGTTATATTGATGTTTGTTACAGGGGGGACATTTAGAGGTTGATTTGTAATTAGAGGCAGTAATATAACAGGAACCTCTAGCTAGCAAGTCTATTATCTTCAATAGGAAGTATTTCAGTGGTAGTCGTTAAAGCGATTAAATTAATTGGCGGTTGTATTATAAGTACTCCAGCCAGAGGTAAATTGGAGTTTGCCATTGCTATTAAATGTGACTTTAAGTGGACGTTTTTAAGTGGATGTATTGTTGGCGATCAAGACCACCAAGTGGTGACACTCGAGTATCCACCGGTCTTTATCTTTGATACTAAATGAGGAGCTGATTTTCAAAAGGGTATCTTTTCGTATTTTAAAAAAGCAGTTTTTTGTACTTTTAAATATTAATTATTTTGAGAATTATGAAGATTTTTAAATGAAAATCGAATTGTAGTTTCATAACCGATAGCACTTTATAGCTAAATAAAAAAAGTTCAATAAAAATATTTTTAATTGAAGATAACTAGTTTTTTGTCTCGATTAATGAAAAATGAAAAGATACCCTTTTGAAACTCAACTCCTCAAATAGACTAACAAATTTATTTCATTTGATAATTGGGATACTTAATGTCATTTTATGGTTTATTTTTGGGAAAAATTATGAAGAAGGTTTATTACTCAGTAGTCGATAATTTGAAGATAAGATAAGGTGCTAATGGATATTTCTTTTTAATTGAAATATTACGGCTGCCTCATTTCAAAGCATAAAAATTGAAATTTCTTCAATTGAAAGTTTTTTTTTTTTAATTTTTCTTACAAGAAAAAAAATCGACACTTAAAATTGATAAAAATTTGATTTAAATGTAGAAGATATATTAATCATAAACTCTTTTAGGAAAAAAGTACAAAAACTTTAGATCAACTACCAATTAGTGTACAATTTCAAAAAGTCTGTTTTTAAATGAGACAGCAGTAATTAATAACGAAAAATAAAAAAAGCCTTACCTTTGGCTCAGAATTAGACGTCTTCATCTTCTTCATAGGCGGCGAACTACACGCAGCCGTGTCCATAGCCTCGTCAACACTCGTGTTTAAAGTAGGCCCAGGAACAGCAGCGACTTTGGTCTGCTCTGGTTTCGCGGCGGAACCAGCAGCAGTCGCCGAAGCTGGACTAGGAGGAGGACATGGAGCAGCAGCGCTGGTCGCGGGAGGACCAACACCTTGAGCTCCTGGGAACCCAGTTCTAGAACTGGGTGGTGGACCCTGAGGTTGCTGAGGAGCAGTCGCTGCGGGAGTAGGACCCTGCGACTGGGCGCCAGCGCCCGTGGAATTCTGACCCTGAGACACCGGCCTGGCAGTTCCGTTCATCTCGGGCTTACTGTTCTGCTGGGGCCCGTGACTATTGCTCTGGGGCTTTTCGTGCTTGTCCCTGGCTTTGTCCCTCCTATGACCACTGGAGCCTCTTTTGGAACCCACCGTGGAGGATGCGGGCGGTCCGGAAGCCGGGGAATGTGGCTTGGACTTATTAGAGGAGGAAGAGGAGTTCCCCGTAGGAACATCCGAGTTCTGAGAACTGGTCGAGGAGCTCGAGGACGTCGAAGAGCCCGAGGAAGACGTCGAAGAGTTGGACGAGGTGGAGTTACCGTTCCCGTCCTGGTTGGAACTGGTTCCGTTAATTTCGTTGGACTTGACAATTTCGTGCTTAGTCTCGCTGGTCTTGGTTCCTGTTTTGGTTCGCTTGATCTTCATCTTGAGGCCTTTGTCTACGGTGGCCGAGTGTTCAACAGCCATTTTTCCGGGATTGCCGGAGTTAATGTGAACCGCGTTAACAGAACTCGTCTGCTTGCCTCCTGTTCCGTTCCCGGCGTTCGAGCTGTTGCCGGTGGCGCCCCCTATGTTCTGGTTGTTTCCGGAACCGGAGTTGTTCACCAAGCTGTTGCTGTTGTTGTTACCACTATTGCTACTGTTATTACTACTACTATTACTATTATTAGAGTTATTACTACCGTTAGAGTTATTATTATTACTATTAGTGTTGTTGCTGTTGTTGTTGTTGTTGTTGTTGTTGTTGCTGCTAGAATTGTTAGAGTTGGTATTATTAGCGTTTTGGTTACCGGAGGAGGCTAGCCCGGAGTTAGAATTACCGCCGCAGGACGGCGACGACGATGAGTTTGAGGAGGACGACGACGAGGACGATGAACAAGACTGAGTTTGGTTGTTCTGGTTAGAGAGCGCGGTTCCACCGACCGACAAAGGCAAAGAATTCTGGTGGGGAACAACGTTGTTAACCTGGTGCTGGTTACTCTGTAACTGGTGACTCTGGTGACTCTGGTTCTGATTATTCGTGGCTGCTGCCGAGGCAGGCGTTGAAGCCATCCCGTTTCCCGAGCTCAATTTCTCGTCCCTCGTCTTCTCTATGTCAGCATCGAGGTCGATTATCAGATCGCCTATGCCAATGTCCCATTCATTGTCGTCGTACTCAAAGTTGTTGGTCACATTCGTCGTGGCCGTGTCCGTGTCCGTTTCTCCGACGTTAGCAGCCACTGTGCTTGCTTTCGAATCACGACGTCCCACCAACCGGTCGCCCTGCTGCTGATGCTGGTGATACTCCTTGCTCGCTTTCTCGCGTTTGTTGGGCCCGCTACCGCTCGGGGAAGGCGATGAACACTGACCTGGAGCTGAGGATGTTGACGATATTGGAGTTGTCGTTGATGAGGATGATGATGATAATGATGTTAATGCTGTTGATGATGTCGACGAGGATGTTGATGAGGCTGGTACCGCCAAGCTCGGCGAGATTCCTTTGCGGTTAACGTTAGGGAGGCGACCGCCTATTGGCGTGGTCGCCATGCCCTTGGAACCGTTTCCTCGGCGCCCGCCAGCCTGTACACCGAGGACTCGAGGTATTGTCTCTTCGGCGAGGAGCTTAATCCACTGCCTGGAGTAGTTGAACCCGGACCACCGCCCGCGAGACGCTCCTCGTCCATCGAACACATTACTTTTCGCCGGTTACTACACACCCTAACTGGTTACTACTGGTATTCTTTCTCTTTCTCTTCTACAACTCAACTAACAACTACTGACTAAAACTCGTTGTTACTATCACTCCACTTTAAAACTGCGTCTCGACACTGTACCTTCTACCAACTTTTATTATCCACAAACTTTTGATAGCTCACACCTAAACAAACCTTAACAATAATCTAATCCACTATTCAGACACCACACTAACTGTAATTCATCACTCCCACTGATAAAACTTATCCACGATCACTGATTGATCACTCAATTGTATAAAAAAACACAGCTATCAATCCGTAGGGTGCTTCGCCAGTTATCCATTTAAGCATCCTCCAGCTCTGGAGAGCTATGCCACGTTGATGACTCCATCAGTTTGGATCTGAAACATCAAGAAATTTTTTTCGTTAGATAATGATAATTATTTTTTGTTTAAATTGATATTTTGTCGAAAGGATCAAAGATATGGAAAAATTTCTTATCATTTTTTCATATCTTTAATATTCCGCCTAAAATAATGATAATATTGATATAATGTTAATAATTCAAAAATGAAGTTTGTTTTAAAGTTCAAAATAGATTTTCTTGAAATAAAATGTTTTGACTTTTTTTATAGTCGAGTAGAATCTGTTAAAATATCTACCATAAAAAGCATATATTGAGAAACTCTGACGTCAATCTAAATGACGTCAATTTTTTTATACAAAACTCGGTAAACACGACAAGTTAAGGAAAAGATGATAAATTATGAAAAAATAATCAGTCAGAAATAAAGTATCATAAATTCCGACACATCTTCAATGTTTCCTCAAAATCAGCGACGAGGGTGCTTATGTTCGGTTGAAAAGACATATAATTGACAAGATACAGAGATATAATCCCGGGCAGATTCGAATTGTTGAGTGAATCGGATATAAATTTAGGATTCATTAATCTTTAAAAGCAGATGGCTCTCACGGGAAGCAAGAAAATACTCAACCAGTTATTCGTCTCCTCTAGGTTTGCCAACAAATTTGTATTCCCACTTGGGGTGGAATTCGTGTCAGAGAGCGATTAATTTAACCGGCGGCATTTTGGCTCACTACCAAACTTACTCACACAACATAGAAGATCAGATAGATCGCAGACGAACTCTGCTATGCCGGAAAATGTATAGTATAGAGTTGCATCTCTATCTCTGTCTCTTTCTTCATTTTCTCTTTTTCTAGTGCTCTATCTCACCGCGGCGTTAATTCTAAAAGTTTATGCGCGAATAACTTTTGCAAAAAGTACAAAAAGCTTCATTGGAAGGCTTATTTAGCTCCTCATTCTCATTCTCATACCACATACATTATTAGTTAATCTCAAAACTAATTAATCAATTAAATTAAATTCATACGATACGATAACTTTCTTTTTTTATTATCGTGTTATTCCAAGCTTATTAAAATAAAATAATCACTAACTTGTTCAGCAAGTGTTTTTATTTAAAACAGCTATCTAACAGATGTCAATGTCAAAGATAACATTACATTAAATAATTACTTCCTCTCGACTTCAACTCTCAAAGTTTAAGTCAAACGTTCTTTTTTCATCTCTCTATTTTATATTAATAATAATAATTGTAATTATAATTAATAAATAACTCATGCTTGTAAGATCAAATCACTATTTTTATTATTTCGGATGAAATATTGAAGATATAAAATAATGATAAGAGACCTTATTTGTAGGAAATTGAATTCTCTACAAAAAAAGGTCCTCGTCAATTTTTTCATCTTTGATACTTCAAACAGAATATTAATTTGAACAGATGAAAAAACTTTGTTTTTTACTCGAATTTTAATTATCAGTTAACGAGTTTTGAACATGTTAGGGACTAACAAATGTTATTTGATGTGAATATTTACGTAGCATTGAATTGTGCTGCGACATAAAATGCAGCGTCTGCAGCTCGTAAACAATAGCCAGTCAATGGGCACTTGAAAGTGTAGTAATATTGTTCTTAGTTTACAATTGGCTCTGTCGAAATGCACCGCGCTATTATTTAAGAATGAACTGAGCGTGTAATGTAAATGTATATGTATAATATGATATGGTAGTTATAAGTATGAAGAATAGTGCACCACCAGCTGAATAAAAACCACTTACACGGCTCGAGTGTTGTGTGTGTGTGTGTGTGTGTGTGTGTGTGTGTGTGTGTGTGTGTGTGTGTGTGTGTGTGTGTGTGTGTGTGTGTGTGTGTGTGTGTGTGTGTGTGTGTGTGTGAGTTTTAATGATACGTTGCATTAATAATCGACGGTACGGTAAAAACAAGTTCAGTGTGAGTGTATACACACTATTCGTTCATTAAAACTTGTGGCTGTTTCAAAAGTTTAGTCTATTAGCGATACATTAAATTAAATGAAACACTTGGCTCAAGAAACTCATTCTGAGGTGAACCCTAAGTATATAAATATATTTTTGGCCACCTGTTTTTGTTAAGAAACTAGTAATTAAATTGAAAGTCTTTATCTCTCGTGCTACGAAATTACACTGTAAGAAAAATAATAAAATATTGACCAGAAATTTTTTGACTCAAGAATTTTTCGACATAAATTATTTAATTTTTTGATAACATAATATCAATATTTACCTTTATTATAATATTTAAAAGAATTAATTGCTTTATTTTAATTAAATAAAAATTATTTTAATCAATTTTTCAACATATGTTCAAGTGTCAAGAAAATATTCCTTTTTCTCACTGTATAAGTTTTACATTAATAAAAGAGTTAATTTAATTACAGAAAATAAATTTCGTACCAAACAAAAAATTTTAAAGAATTTTATTATTTTTCATCTCGAAGAAAAGTTTTTAAACAGAAATTTTTCTTACTTTAAGAATTTTTCTACTTCGTAGCAAGAAAATTCTTCACAATTATTCTTTTCAATCAATATACAAATAGAAAAAAACTCAAGTTTTTGTAGAAAAATTCTTTAGACAACCCGATAAAAGAAAATGGTTGTCAGCGAGTTAAAATGTCGTCCAACTTCTGCAGAAAAGACTCGGCCGGTAAAAAAAATATAGCAAGAAAAGGAGCAAAAAGCAATCCTATTTCTCTTTAATTTGAGCAGTGAACACCAGCGCGACAGTAACACAGCGGCGTTAGATGGAAATATGTATTTATTTAGTCCAGGGCTGGCATGTGATGAAAACGAGGGGAAATGAGAAGAGTAAGGTTAGTTTTTTTCTTTCATCTCAGTTATTCTGTTCTGTTCTGTTTTTTTTATTTTTTTCTTTCGTAATAAAAACTCGGGTCGTATACGCCATATGCTTGCAAGCTGGAGATGTCCCTCATGTACTCAGGCTCGGCGTGTTCCGTGATATCCCCTATGTTCAAAGGCTCTTTATACGGCGCTGCTCGGTGGGCGAGGAACAAGTACATACATTTGTATATATATGTATTGAACATTACAGAGACTACACATACATTACAGTAGTACAGTATTGTATAGTACATGGAGCCGACCCCAAAAGTCACGAAGCGGCAGATGCTCCTGTGGCCGTGTTCACTCATCCGTTTCACGCTCGCTCGCTTATTTGAGCCTTAGTAAGTATTAGGACACTGGATAGGATACGGCATTATGTGTTGCCCCTACCGTGTTACATCTTATGTACGTGTTGGTGTCATACGGGCTCTGCATAATCGACCGAATTTTATTTTAAATCACGGGTCATTCTAAACCGATTAACAGAAGATTGCTTTTCATTCACAGTATTGCCGCTATTTACTTCAGAACACTCTCTAGAGTTATTACAGCTATTGTTATATTTAAAGAACATATTCTTTTCATTTTTTTAATTAGTCAACTCATTTTTAGGCCAATTAATGTGTTAAATTATGCAAAAGTTGGGTTAATAATTGATTAAAGTTCAAAAACAATGTCAGATAAGTTAAAAAGTGATTTTTATTTTCGAACTTTATACTTTAGAGTTAACTTTCCTTCTAGGAGAAACTTTGCCGATCATGCGCCACCTGTCGGGGAATTATAAAACTAACTTTTATCATAAAATTATATACTGTCATATCGAGTCATAGTATGCTATATATATTGATATGGTCAATTTTTGAAGATGATTGTTGATTAAAAAAATTAATTAATCGTCTAAGATAATTTTACATGTCATTAATTTCAAGAAAATTGAATCTAATTAACTTTTTATAAAAACTGTGATTGTAGTATCGAATAAAATCGTTCTAATACTAAAAATCCATAAAAATATCTATTTGCTTGGAGACCAGATCAGCAAATTTAATTTTAAAACCCGTCAATGTGTGTACATAGGACTAGGCCGAAATTGTCGAGTAGCAGCTGGAGCAATATCAATACAAATATCAATATACGACTCGTCACTGTCTAGTCTGTGTCCATTGATTGCAGAGTTTGTGGACATATCACGTCAAGCTCCTACTTCGACACCATACATTTTGAACTATGTTCTGTACCAAAGAGCTTTATTTGTAAAGGAGCCGAATGCCAGAGGAAGAAGGCGGTGGAAACGTTTGCTAGCGTCAAAGGTGCATAAAGTGAAGTAGCCCTAACAACGGTTGAACGGTACAGGTAGTAACCTAGCGGACGTCAATTGTTGGATCCAGCCATTCCATACTGAGTCTAGTTCAGTTTAGTTTGTTGTTGTTATTGTTGGATTCTACTCCTTACAGTGGATAGTGGGCATTCAACTATGAAGGAACTTTAAACTGCTTTTCGCCATACTCTGCTTTCCACGTTTGCTAATATAAATTATTCATCGTCTCTTTACTTTGCCGTCATCGTAGCATTCTACGACGTATGCTTTTTATAAGTGAGACAGGTGTATTACAATTCATAAAATGCCTCTTAATTCGGTTAACTTCAACACTATTTTTTATTTTGATCAATTTTAGGAATTGATTCTTCTTCATAGCATGGAAAAATTTATAATTGACTACAATTGGGATGAAAAGTT